ATTTTGTCATCCTTCCTGGGCAATGCTGGATTCCGTAGGAGTCTAAGATCAGTGCAGGCAAGATGAAGCCAAAAGCTTAAGTAGCCTCAATATGTAACAATCAATTCAGTCAAGATGGTTTAATCCTTCTTAGTCAGTTTCAAATTGGGCTGGCAACTGGTCCTCTATCTTGTGTGGCACTTGTGTCCTGCTTATAGGTTTCACATAGCCATCTGTAAGAACAGAATTCTGGACCTGATGGGTTTTTGGTCTGATCCAGCAGGCCTCCTATGTTATGTTCTGACCTTGAGCCTGTCAGAAGCGGTTTTAGGGTAGTGTGACCCACCAGTCACAGTGGGCACCATACTACAGGGGATGCCACAATGCTATAGAACAGAGTGCAAGAGGTGGGGGGGATTTTAGCATTGCACAGGGCATCGCTGAAATTTGAGAGCCCAAAGTCTACCATTGAGCCTGTGCTTTCAACAATGCCCAATAAATCCTGCCAGTGGAACATTGCCCACCTCTGTACTTCCATGCCAGGAAAAAGCTTCCATTGCTTTATTTCTGCTTGTCAGGTTGCTATTACAGACCCAGGAGCATGGCCCAGTAAACAAGACAGCCAGAAAACAAACAAAACAAAAACAGTGCTGGCAATACTAAAAGGAACCTCAGAATTCTAGTACAGTGGTACCTCAGATTACACATGCTTCAGGTTACAGGCTCCGCTAACCCAGAAATAGTACCTCGTGTTAAGAACTTTGCTTCAGGATGAGAACAGAAATTGCACAGCAGTGGCATGACGGCAGCAGGAGGCCCCATAAGCTAAAGTGGTACCACAGGTTAAGAACAGTTTCAGGTTAAGAACAGACCTCCAGAATGAAGTAAGTTCTTAACCCGAGGTACCACTGTACCTGATGACCTCCTCCCCAGTCAACTGCATCCAATTCACAAGATTATGAAAAGCTGACTTACATTGGTCCATTTGGCCCAATAATGTTCACAATAACTGGCAGCAGTTCTCCAGGATTTCACCAGCCCTAACTGGAGATGTTGGGGTTTGAAGACCTTCTGCAGGAAAGCAGATGCTCTACCACTGAGCTACAGTCTTTCCCCATGTCCAGATTCCCTGCCCAGATCTGGAGGAGGAAACCACTGCATCTCCTATTCACCTTAGCTTTCAGTTCACCACATGTAACCTCCTAGTCTTGCTTCCCAGATCTGGCAACGAAACCCAGACATTTTGCCTCATGTTGCCAGACCCCACATCTTCCAACCATGAAAACTGGGAATCTTATATTCCAAGAAATCCTACGTTCCTAATAGCTGGGTTGTACTGGAGTTGTCTGAGTTAATTCTCCGTGGTGCGTAATAACAGTAACTATGCTTGCTTAGCACCTCCGAGCTGTTTTATGAACGTTAGCTAATGAGCTCCACCACACCCTAGCTTAAGAAATGATTGTTATCTTCATGTGACAAGGCTGAGAAAAGTAGGCAACTGAAAACACTGTGACTTCCCTACAGGCAAATTTCTCCAATATGGAAAGGGTCCCTTCCCTAAAACAGGTAAATGCTACAACATATGCACGCTTACTTCGGAGGGAGCCTCCCAAGTGATTTACTTCTGGGCAAATGTGCATAAAATCAGCATGCCTTCGTGCCCTTTGCTCCTCACCCCATTTTCTCTCTCTCCTTTTTGGAACCTGTACGTAGATGCAGTTAATGCAGCAGACATTTTAAAATGATGACCTTTTAAAATGAAGGCTAAATCTTAAACTATGGAATTCACAGCCACAAGATGTGGTGATGGCTGCCAATTTAGATGACTTTAGAAGTCATCTAAACAAATTCACAGAGGATAAGGCTATCAAAAGCCACTATCATAATATTTTGCCTTTGGTGCACCTCTAAATAGCAGTCATTGGGGAACAACAAAAGGAGGGTGAAATTGCTTGTGGGCTTGGCCACTGTGGGGAACAGCATGCTGGTCTAGACAGGGTTTTGGTTGGAGCCAACAGGGCTCTCATTGTTCATACCTCCCTTCCTTTCAGTGCAACGGCTCCACTCAGATTCAGCACCCCACACCCGCCCCTATGCAGTTGTCCTTAATCAAAACCACAGAAGATTTTCACAAGTTTGGCCCCAAAGTTTCTGAACTGATCGCACGAATCTTCTGAGAGTTATGGTTTTATTTATGTCTTACATTTATGCCTGGCCTTTCTGCTATCATGGAACTGAAGGCAGTGTGTGCACAGTTCCTTGGGTGGTCTTGCTTAACTTCAACATGCTCCTGTGCCTTTAAATTTTGTGCTCTGGAATTTTATGTAATGGGGCTGAGTCTGGTTGTTGTCTAAAACTTCTGGGGGGCACCAATTTGGAGAAGAGAAACACTACCAGTCCAAGTAAAGCAGTCCTGGTCGAGATAGCCCAATAGAGTGATTCAGTGCTTCTTTTCTGGGCGTACGCAGGGGTTCACATACCCCTAAACATTTTGTGAATCTAAGATTGGCCTCATTGAGGGGCAGTATTTCAATATGAGTAGGAAAATGAGAGTACCCCTAAACTTTTTTTTAAATAGAAAGAAAGCACTGAAATGTTTCAGTATATGGCAGAGTCATACAGAAGCGTGTGTGTGTGTGGAGATGAAAGGACAACTTCCTTTATGCCTGCTGAGAAATCAGAAGCTTGAAATTCTACTTTGGCTGATCCAACTAGATCAGAGTTGGCCAACCTGCAGCCTTAGGCCTAATTTCAAAAACTTCTACAAGATATCATATCAGACCTCTGGCTAGCAAGAACGATGCTCCACCCACCTCTGGCTGCAGTCTTGCCCCTTATTGGCAAGAGGCCACTGGCAGATTACCCCTGAGGGAATGTGGCCATTGACAGACAAATGGTTGCCTACCCCTGATATAGAACATCTCAGGTGGCCCAACTTGCTAGTAGAACACCCTTGGCAGCAGTTGGTTGATGCTCTGGGAAAGTACATGACTATGCTTTCAGCATAGCATAGAGAGACTTTTTTGTTTAACATTTCAGGCATGTTAATTTAGGATGAGAAATGAGTCCTGCCAGATAGAGAGATCCATCAAGGTAATGCCATTGATTCCAATCTTTGTAACCCCACGGTAAAAGCTAAACCTCGTTCCCTGAAGAGTCAGATTTCTTGAGGGATAAGGAAACATCACACGTATTTTCTTTTTTCTTTTACGTCTTAGTTCCTGTTAGGGAAACCACAGATAGAGAGATACTTCTGTCTCTCCGTCTCATATTTACAGTAGACGCAATATAGCCAGACATATTAATTAGAACATTGCAATAATCCAACCGATACATGATAACAAAACCATGATGTTGAATATTTATCGCCGGGCAGATCATGGAGAAACAAAGGCAGCACGCTGTAACGGTTCGCCCACATACCGTGCACCTGATAGCGGATCTCGGAGGCTTTCAACTAAGCCACAGCCTATTTGCAAAACTCAATGGGAGAGTGGCAGCAGCCACAGCAGAGCAAAAAATCAACAGCTCCAGCTCCATCAGAGTGCAGAAAACACCACAGAAAACCGCAAAGCTGATGGTTGGCCAACTCTCAGTCTATGGAATGTGCTTCCCTGTGTTTAGCGTCAGGGGCCAGCTAAAAACCTGCCTGTTCTGTCAGGATTATTATTTTCATTTTTTATGTAGAAGGATGGCTGGGTGGCTGGAAAAGTGACCAATGCTCTGTTTTACTATATTCTTGATTTTCTTTTCTTTTTATTACTGATTGTTGTATGTGCACATTTAAAGCATTTATGAATCCACCATAAACATAGATCTCTAAGCAATTTGCAACAAAATAAAATACAGAATAATTTACCTCATAAATGAAACAGTAGAGTACTAAAAGTGACCGGATAAGTTAACTTTTCAGAAATGAAAATGTTTTTGCAGCACATCAAAATCCGTTCAATGTTGGTATCTGTCTCCCCTCCACTGGGCAGGTGTTCCATCATGCAGGGGCTAATGCGCTGAATTCTGATTATAGAGATTTGATTTTGGGAGCCAGAAACACCTCCTAAAGCTCAGCCCCTGTCAATTTCTGTGATCTAGCTAGCCTATAGGGAACGAGGTACTATTTGTTTATTCTTGCAAGTCACCCTAGGATGAAGGGCGGAATACAGTGGTACCTTGGGTTACAGACGCTTCAGGTTACAGACGCTTCAGGTTACAGACTCTGCTAACCCAGAATTAGTACCTCGGGTTAAGAACTTTGCTTCAGGATGAGAACAGAAATTGCGCGGCGGCAGAGCGGCAGCAGCAGGAGGCCCCATTAGCTAAAGTGGTGCTTCAGGTTAAGAACAGTTTCAGGTTAAGAACGGACCTCCAGAATGAATTAAGTACTTAACCCGAGGTACCACTGTATACTCATCATGTCCCTGAAGTTCAACTGGCCTTTACCAGAGGCCAAGCTTTCAGTGAGGCAGGCTCATTGTTGTGGAACTCCTTGCTAATAGAGGTTCAGCAGGAGTCATTTACCTCCTACATATAATTTCTAATCTACTAACCTCACCCTCCTGTTCCTCAACACATGGACCTATTGAAGGCTAATTGGCCCATACAATCAGCCCCATCTTTTCCAAGAGCTGTGGTTTGGATTAAGCAGCCTCTTATATCTTCCTGGCTTTGCCATTTCTCCACCTCTTATATCTTCCTGGATACCATTTCTCCACCAGGTACTGGCACAACCTCCAGGGATGCAGGAGCACAGCTGGCTGGATTCTCTGGATGGATATCTTAGGCTTCATCAGCCGGCTTCCCCACTTGGCTGCCAGACGCCACACTCGCAACCCAGCACATCAGTCAAACCAGTTTGGTGACATTGTGCCCGCCCTTCTGAGGGCTAGGTATTAAAGCATCTGCATCTTGGAGAGAAACAAGCCCTGTCACCCCAGAGGGCATCCCTCTTGCCGCGCTCTCCCACTTCGGGGAGGACTGAGTGACAGCAGATCCGAAAACAAAAGAAAAAGAAAACCAGAATCATGGCAAGACAGCAAGGGGCACCCAGATTCGGCACCGCAGGAGTTCTGCTACTGATTTTGGCTGCCTTGATGATTCAAAGAGGGATCTGCAAGCAGTGGCATTATGGATATAATTCTTGTGAAAATGACCAGCAGATAATACCCGACAGAGGTAAGCGTTAGAAGCTCCCATTGCATTCATTTAGGCCACCTTTATTTCAACAATTTATATACTGCTTAAACAGCAGAGAACAAGCTCAACAAATGCAAGAAAGATTAAAACAAATCGGGTAATAACTATCAGAACAGAAATGCCTTAAAATGCTCTATGGGGAAGGATCATAGCTCAGTGGTAGAGCACTTGCCTTGGGAGCAGAAGGTCCCGGGTTCAATCCCCCACATCTCCAGGTGGGGTTGGCAGAGACAGCCTGCCTGAAATCCTGGATAGCTGCTGCCAGTCAGTGTAAACAGTACTGAGCTAGATGGATCAATGATCTGACTTGGTATAAGGTACTTTCCTATTTGCCTATGCTTTCTGAAATATAAGAAAGTATTCAGTAGGTGCCAGAAGTTTAACAGGGAGGGTCCCCCTGTCTGATCCCATTTGGAAGAGAGTTCCACCAAAGATTGTGGGATCGAGACACCTAAGAGTGCGTCTAGGATCCAGGATTCCTGAATCCTTTCACCAGTCCTGGGGGGAAAAGTAGTACTTCGGGTATGGTGAATTTGGGAGGCAAAACACCTAAGGCTTCTAGGGGCAAACATTCAAGATCCTTGGAAAAGTGATCCTTTAGCCAGCTTCGTTTTTATTATTCTTAATGAACAGAGTGATTAAATGATGATAAAAAATGATATTTCTGTCCTTCTAGTGCGTGGTTAGGGCCAAAGAATGAATTCTAAGCTATGATTTTTAGTACAGAACCAGTAGTTGCCAAATGATTCTGGAGTAATTAGGTTAGTGCAGCCAAGCTGTGTGTGTTTTTGTTTTTTTGGGGGGAGGGTGGCATACAGGAGAAAAGTCTCTCTTGACCCACTGTGGAAAGGCTCCTGCTTTTCCTAATTCGACTCTATGGTAGTGATACCGAGTGGGTGTGTTGATTACTTTTATTTTTATTTATATCTCACTTTTCTATTAAAATAATAACCAAAGCACATTACAAAAAAGAATACATGTGCACAAACACATAATAAGAGAGTGCAATGATACATCATTAAAACAAAACAACAGTAGGAGACCACGGAGGAAAACATCGAGAGGCAGAAAAACTAAAATTAGACTTAACAATTAACAATAATTATACATTTAGTTTTTCTGCCTCTTGATGTTAATTGCTGCTTGAAATATTATTGCTAGACACTGGACAGATTTACTAGGGGCCACACTTCCAGCAAGTAGGTTTACTAGGAAACTCACTCATAAGCTAAGTAGCAAGAGGACAAAGCAAGACACCCCCCCAACATGGTATGATTTTATTCAATATGTAAAAGATGACTCTTGCATTCTGAGTCCACATCCAACTTTTCAAAGTATACGGCTACCTTGAGACAATGCAATAAACTGTTCTGTACCTCTCTCCTCTCCCACACACTCTCAATGCACATTGCTGTATGGGTTTGTAATGTGACTTTTAGCCTTTATCAGCCTGAGAATTCCATAAAGATGCTCCTGACAGTATCCTCTTTCCCTCCCTCCCTCCAACCTAATTATTCTTTTTATTGCTAGTTCCTTGTTTATGTTTGCATTTATATTTGCTACTGATCTCTGTATCCTATTCTGAAACAAAGTGCCTCCTCAAGATATGCAAATCTGTAAAAACATGTTTGTTTGTTTTTTTATATTTTTTATTTTTAAAACAACCAATAAAAACTATTGATATAAAAACTACAATTATATTGAGAATAGGGAAGAGTATTTTTCAATTCTCCACATTTCCACAACGGCTTTCAACATTTTAGTGCTATTTTGTGCTACCATAACACACTTTTGTGTGCAATTTTGCCTAATATGCACATTTTTTGCAAAGCAACTTTGCCCCATATGCATTTTCCACTAATATGTGCATTCATATGCACACTTGCATTTCTGTGCACATTACTTGGCTGGAGAACTGCATTGCAAAAAATAAAAAAATAAAAAGGAGAAAAGCTAATTTCAAAGGATGGCTGTTCTCCAGTCCATATCTTGTTTCAGAAAGTGCAAACTTGGTAGACATGCCTATAAATACAAACTGATTCAATTCCCGCCCCCCCATCGCATCATAAAACTAGCAAGTTACTGATTATGGAAGAATATAATGAAAGGGATGGTAGTCATATGGTCTTTGGAAATTCCAGTGCTAGGTGAGGTGGGTGTACATGGATCGTATAACAACCCTTATAATTTCCCCCTATTTAGCATCATTCTGAAGCATTGTGGGTGATTAAAAAGGGTGGCTAGACATAGCTGCCCAGTCCTGTTTGGGTTACTGCTACTGCAGCCAGGTAAGCCCACTAACAGAGGGAGGGACCAACTAGAGGACACTTTGCCCAGGGAGCCCATCTCAAACTTTGAGCTAACCCTCCTTCCCACCCTGTGACATCTTGCATATGGAAGGAAACTGAGACCATTGATGTCCTAACAACTGCAGTGTTTATATCTGGATGCACAGAAAGAAGAAGAGAGTGAGAAAGGGAGGTTGATACCAGAGAGCATTTCACATAGACTAAACTTCTTTGGTCACCATCTCTCTTTCTCCTACAACACACCATTCACGGTAATATGTGGTTAAGCCTGCCTAGTGCTTCCTCCTTTGTTAGAAGTGGGCAGAAAGTATGTTGCCAAGTTCTGAACTGGCCCCGGGAGCATCACTTCAGGAGCAGGCTGGATCAACACCAGCTTAGCAGGTGATAGTGCTTATCTCTACAGCCTGGAAAAAACAAACACCAGTTGCTGATTTCGGCATATCAAACAGCTGCTTCAAGGCATAAGAGCAAGCTAGGCTGGATTGGTTTCCTCATCTCCTGGCCAGTTGCCATCCTGATGTACAAATGCGAAGCTTAAGAAGGGGCCCATCCTGCTGATCCTAAAAGATGGCTGAGATGAGGAAAAGCGCTGTAGGAGACCATTTGTGGGAGACCATTTGCTTTGTGTGCAGAAGGTTCAAGATTCAACCCCTGGCCTTTTCAGGTAGGGCTACGAATGCCCTCATTTGGAAGCCTTCCTTATTAGGTTGTCCCTAGCATCTGGTGTCCAGATTTTGCTGCCACAGAACATGGAATTTCCATGACTTTAGAGCCATTGATAGGCCTATTTTCTTACCCCTCAGAGCAAATGTTTGGAGTCACTGATGATGTGGCTGAGTTAGGGGTGGGTGGCACCACTTTGCAATAGTTCTGGTCCTACTTGGATGGTCGTTTCCAGAGGGTGATGCTTGGTCAGTGCTCTTCAGCCATGTGGAGCCTTCCATATGGGTTCCCTCAGGGTTCAGTTTTATCCCCTGTGCTATTTAACATCTACATGAAACTGCTAAGTGGGGCTATCTGGAGTTTTGTCAGCAATATTCTGATGACACAAAGATCTACTTCTCCTTTACATCTATAGCTATGGCAGTGGATGGGCTGGACCATTGTCTTGCTTCGGTAATGGACTGGATGAGAGCCAACGAACTGAAGCTCAACCCAGATAAGACTGAGACACTGTTAGTGGGTGGTTCCCTAGACCACGTGGGTGCCTGCTCTTGATGCGTAGCTTGCGGGTACTTCTGGATCCTTTGCTGTCACTTGAGGCTCAGGTGGTCTAAGTGGCCCGGAGCGCCTTCCATCAACTTCGGTTGGTGGCCCAGCTGTGCCCCCATCTGGACAGGATTAGCCTAACTTCTGTTATCTATGCTCTGGTAACCTGTAGGCTAGATTACTGCAATGCGTTACATGTTGGGCTGTATAAAATGGTCCGGAAACATCAGCTGCTGAAGAATTCAGTGGCCAGATGGCTCACTGGGGCAGGGCAGTTTGAGAATATTACACCAATCCTGGCTGAATTGCACTGGCTGCCAATTAGTTTCTAGGCCCAATTAATAGTGATGGCTTTGATGTTAAATGGCTCAGGACTGCAATATCTGAAAGACCGCTTCTCCTCATATGAGATGACTCGGACCCTGCGATCATCAGCTGAGGCTCTTCTTCATGTGCCTCCTTCATGAGAGGTCTGGAGGGTGGCAACACGAGATCAGGCCTCTTCTGGAGTGGTTCCCTATTTGTGGAGTGGTTCCCCATTTCTCCAGGGGGATTCATCTGGCACCTTCATTATACATCTTTTGGTGTTTCTTTTCTGCCAGGCCTTGGGCTGATTAGCATTCTATGTCCTTTTAAATGTGTGTGTGTGTGTGAGAGGGAGGAGATTATGGGTTTGTTTTGTTCTGGTTTTAATATGTATTTTGTATTTTTATTTTGTATTTTTATGCTGTGAACCACCCTGAGATCTTCAGATGAAGAGCAGTGTATAAGTTATAATAATAATAATAATAATAATAATAATAATAATAATAAATACTGAGACCTGCCTAGCCCTGAAATAGAGAATTTGCTACTCTTGGTGACCCTTGCTTTCATGAATTCCCAGCTGCACACATATGGGTGGAGCTATTTGGAAAAAGAAGGGTGTGTGAGGTTTCTGGGAATGTTACATGATATTCCAAAAGATTATAGGATAAGCTGTTTGAGGACTTCTTGAGTGTGCTGTGTGCCAATCTGGGTGGTGTGGCTGATTGGATTAATTATGTATGGATTGTGTGCATATGGGGTGCAGATAATGTGTCTGTGATTCTAGTCTTGAATGATTTATGCAGTGCGCTCTCTTTCTCTCTTGGTAAAAAATGAGATGCCAGTATTCGTATCTTGATAAAAGTGTCATGGGTGTCAAAACAATATAGTTGCCATGGGCACCAAATAATAATGAGGATGAGGTGATAGTACTCTCTACTGGCGGATATCATCACCCTTTGATCTAGGACAGAATGGTTGTTGAAGAAGCTTCCAGGATAATCCTACAGCCACAAATATTTTCTTGCAAAAGTTGTAGTTTGACAAGTCTGCCACTGGAGTCCCCTAGTTTCTTTCACAGAATTGTAGTTCCCAGGATTTCCCCTGGGAATGACTGTCAAACCAATTTACATATGTAGCATCAATAGGCCCACATGGAAATGGGAGGCAGCAATAAATAAATACTTGTGAATAAAAATTTCACTGTATTTATTGCTACAGTTGTCTGCAAATTATTATATGATGCAGGCTTCCTTGTTGTGAAACTCCACTGTGAAGTCTTCAAACTAAAACCTTTATGCTGAATAAACGGATGGTTAATTAGCTAATGATGATTTCCATAATTAGATCTGATATAACTTTATTTGTTAGCTTGCTCCTCTATGGCAGGTTAAATAGCTCTGTGACCACATGATTGACAAGCTGTAATTTAATCCTGAGGTTGGGAGAGTGGTTTTTAAACATTCCATGGCATCAGTTTAATGAATTCAAAGTCTGGCAGTAATTGAACTAATGAGTACCGAACTTCAAGCTAATTGCACTAGATACATTTGCTCTTCAACTCATCTGACATAATGGTGCCAAGGTTCAAGTGAAGATTCCGCTTCCCTTGAATTTAGTTTAAATACAGTGTTTAAATAATTTGCTCCCACTTAGCACATCTTATGCTTTTCTTCTATTGTCCTCCTCATGAATTTGTGTGGTATGCATATACCATACAAATAATAACAGATTTGAAGTTGGCTTTTTCTAGACAAATCAAAGTTAAAGCTAAGCATGATTTATTCTTGAATATGTCAAATGTCAAACTGTGATTACATTTGCAGATAGTTTTGCTCTTGTTCTTGTGACCATGCCAGAGGAGGAGGAGGGGAGTGCGAGAGGGGGGATCTGGGAGCCTGAGACTCATTTGTGTAGCGCTAATGCAGGGGTAGCCAATGTTGTAGTCTCCAGAGGCTGTTGGACTACATCTTCCACAAGCCCCTGCCAGCATGGCCAATGGCCAGGGATGATGGGAGTTGCAGTCCAACCACAGCTGGACTGCCCCTGTACAAAGCAATGGATAAAGGTGTATGCACATATCCACTCTCTTTCACCCCTTCCTTTTCCCCCCTGCCTGAAAGAACTGCATGCTACTGCACGCCACAGCCCAAACCTCCAAGGGATATGGCACTCCCAAGTTCTATATAACCTTCCAACCTTTCTGTTGCTTGGGAGATTTTGTTAGCAGCTTGTGAATCACCTTAGTCATCCTGTCTTTGGATGTGACTGCACACCTCACCCTTTTCCATCTTGTATCTGTGGCTTTGCCATGGGTTGGGAAATCACTAATCTCACAGAATGGCACACCCTTATTTCTCCCACTGTAACAAAGCAAAAAAAAAGCAAACTGGAAAACAAAAAACCTAAAGCAAGATTCAATTTGTATTGAGAAAGATAGTTCTGGCTGACGAATGGATTAGGATGATGTGAAATCATGAATATTAAGATTGTGGGTTTTGACTCTGCATGTGTGAGATGTATTACAGCTGCTTGTCTGATTAGGAATATCCGTCAGTTAATTGCATCCCTTTTAGTTTACTAATCTTAACTGACTGAAGTTGCATATGTTGCACATCAGGAAAAATATGCATATACTAATGAGAATAGCATACAAAACTACATTATATTCTGGAATGCTGTGCAAAACTATGTTTATCAGGCAGAATTACATATAAAACTGTGTATAGTAGGATAAATTTGCACTAAAATGCTGATGAATTTTCCTTTTTTTAAAAAAATAATTTTTATTAACCGACCAATCAAATCAAATCAAATCAAATCAAATCACATCACATAAATTCCGAATTACAAAGCCGAATTTTAAATTTTGTTGAGGGGACCCATATTTCAAGATCCGAAGGGGGATTCTGATCATCTTCTTGCTACTGCGTTAATGTCCGAATCAGTCCAAACAAAGTTCATAATTCTATCCAGTCTTATCTTGCTGTTTCCGCATCTCATCTTGTTCGTATATTTTCTCTTTTTTCTTTATGATCTCTTCTGATAATCTCCTTAAGCCGATAAACACCAATAATAATCCTGTGTGAATTTTCCGTTCATCCAATCCTCAAATCGAGATGGTTTCCATATATCATCGCATTCATAAATAACATCGCTCTTTCCATCATTAATCACAGAACTGTCGTTCTTAAGTCCCTCTGAGAAGTTTCACCCACAATATAAATACAGCTCTATTTCTCCTCCCAGACTTAAGTCCTCCGACAGAACTTCCCAATATGGCGACGGTATTTTTAACTGCGTCATTCCAAAGCCCTTATACATTCCACGCTCTTCTTAAAGCATGCTTTGGTTAGAAAGTTTATCTCCACACAGACATAAATCCACAGCTTAAGTCCTTCAAATGACGTTTCTGACTTGTGAGGGGGGGGGATTCTTGTTTAATCACATAGAGGAAAGAAAGGAAAGTTTTTTTCCCTCCCCCATCCAGTCCTTTTGCCATACCGAGTCTTGGTGTGTCTTCATCTGGTTAATTCTTGTTCTTCCGACTCATCTCGTTTATCAGAGATCTCTTCTGTTAGCAGTCTTTACTCCCCCTCCTTCCTTGAAATATGTGCATTCGCTTAATCCTAATCGTTTCTTTTGAGGTTCTTGCAGCTAGAGGCGCGGATCAGAGGCAGCGTCCAGGAGCGCCGATATCCACAGAAGGGCATTCTGCCTAGTGCCCCCATCCCCTCAAATTCGGGGGTGGTATAGGGCACAGCAGGCAAGGGCAGCCCCTCACAATCCTGGGGGGGGGGTAGGGAGGCTATTACTCCTATCACAGCCTCCAAATTACCTCGTGTGGGTCGGAGAGATGTTATTGTCAGCCATCTTCTGATGCGCCCCTAGTGGCCCCTCAAAATGCTGATGAATTTTCACAAACTGTTGCAGAAATATGGAGAGCTGAACAATGAAAAAATGATAAACTGAAACTGACAAATTTGCAGTGCACATTCAAAACATTGTCTCTAAAGGAGTCCTGTTCAAAGCAGATCCCTGCAATTGATGTGCCTCAGTTAGTAATGCCCAACTTAAATCTTCAGGCTTCCTACCTGTAAATTCTTTGTCAGATTCGGCATTTGTGCAGCCTGACAGAATTTGACATGGAAGTTGGCTTACCTGGTGGTTATGGGCAAAGTGCACACATCTTTCTTGGGCCTGACTGTGGGTTAGCAGCCAAACCTAACAAATGCATATTCTTGCTAGTTAGCATGAGAAGGGGCTAAGTCCATGGAGCTGTATGGCTGATAGGCAGATACTCAGACCATAGAAATGCAATTGGTAGAGAGGGCTCAGTGTAGGGTTGCCATATTTCAAAAAGTGAAAATCCAAACACAAAGGTTTTTGACCTTTTTTCATAAAAGTTGTTGAACTTTTCTTTTTGAGGTTTTTTTTAAAGTTTTTGATAAAATCTCAACAATATATATATATTTTTGAGCTAATTTTTAAATGAAAATCACCAACATCTACACTACTGACATGGGCTGCCATATGTCGGAATTTCCCGGACATTTCAGTGATTTTCTTCTGGATGCTGCTTAAGAGGGCTGAATACCAGCTATGTCTGGAAAATTCTGGATGTATGGCAACCCTAGTTCTGTGCATATAGTATTTTGCCTGTATAGTTTTTACTGCTACTGTTTCTGTGAACTGAAACTGAGAAACTGTAAACTGTCCTGGTGGTAGAGGGAGTAAAGCACATAGACTCTCCTACGTGAATCCTTGGCTTCCTTTCCAATGTAAAACAAAATACATTATACCAGACAATCAATGGTGATTACATGTTATAATAAATTGATTAGGATTGATTACATTTTTGGTTATGTCAGACACAGGTGATTAGTTAACATAATTTTTTTTTAAAAAAGCAATTATATTTGATTTGGAATGAATTAGATTGTGTGCGTTTCTTGTAATCAGAAATTACCACAATGGTTGGATGTAACTGGGATATGTATTTAGAGATAAAATGCTATACTGAAAACAAAAGGTTTTCTAGCACTGGATTCTTTTTAGCTTGAAAGGTATACAATTGATAGGCATATTTCAGATCCCTAATGGTAATCAGGTAAGTGCCTAATTTTCTGGGAGAGGATGAACTCCAAACCAGCTATTGTTTCAGGAATTCCAAGAAGAAACTTCCAGGCAAAGATTTGCAATTCAAATCTATTGTGATGTCATCAAACTTGCTGTGTGCTCCCTGACAGGGTGGACTAATTCAGGGTGACTAATTCAGGAAACACTGCCCTGCATCTCAGTTGTCCTCATTTGCCCTCAGTGATGTCAGTGCATAGCTAAATCTGTTTAGCTATGTAATTGTGCTGCGCCTCAGTCAACCCAAATTTAATATCTTATATACTGCTTGATATAACAAGAACTCTAAGTGGTTCACACAAGCTGCAATAATAAAACTGCAAGCAAAAACAAGTCAGTACACAATATCGAAATGCAATAAATATCCAGTAAAGCATTTAGCAAAACGTTAAAACGAAAACACTGAAATTGCAAGTGCACTATTACCGTGATTTGGAGAAAAGACATGGTGGACCACATCCCTGAAGCATCTCTGACAGTGAAGGAAAAACTGGGCAAGATGGACAAAGCGTCTTCTGTCAAGGCAACTTCATGTGTTCCTTTCGTGACATCATTAAATGACATTGATTTGATATCTACAAACTTAAGGAGTGCCCCCCTTTCTTTTAGTAGGAAACTCTTCCCATGAAACACTGTGCAGCAAAAAACAGTTCAGTTATTAGATCAGCTGTGCTCTCCTCCAACAGTGCATTGGCCGATGCCATTCACATTCAATTGACATCTTATTGGCCAGCATCTTGTGTTCCCACTGCTTGCCCTTGTCTGAGAACTGCGAGATGGAGATCCTGTCTCCTCCTGTCCATTTCACACCAAGGCTTAGGTACAAGGTTTAAGCACAGTGCCTGGGGAGGTGGGAGAAATTTAAAAAAACAGTCTCAGCATCAGGAGCTGGGGAGAATATTTGGGGCAATCCAATCCTTCCCCCAGTTATTTTCTTCTTCTTGGAATAAAAGTCCTGTGATTACTTCTGGGTTTTGATTGTGTATCTTTAGCTTTAAATCCTGGGTCACAGTTGTCCCTGTTGATTCCTCCTCTTTCTGTTGCAGGTTATCATATGACCCGTTCCCATTGGGGTAAGTTTTTATCACCAGACTTTTTAACCTTTTATGCTGGGTTCTGGGGATAAGCAACCTGTGGCCCTCCAGCTGTTGCTGGTGTGGGCAATGGTCAGGTATAATGGGAATTGGAATCCAACAACATTGGAAGGCAACAGATTGTCCATCCACGTCTTGTGCATTCCAGGGGACCCCACTAAGCAACACAATATGGACATCCACATCCTGCTTCTCTACTACAGATGTATCTTAGATCCTGGGTTTAGAGGTCACCTATGACAAGGCTAAAAGTGCAAATCTTTCTAGTGGGGTGCAACAAATTCCCTATGAACACAGGCAACCCAGGACTCAGCTATACAGCGGCAAATAAAATGTTTTAAGTGTGCTGTAAAGTGCATTATACAAAAGTGACAGTAGATGGTGATGGTGAGCTATGGCAAATTCAATATATTTTTCAAAACGTTAAAAAAAAGCATTTTCACAATTTTTTTATATGTGTCTAGATTCCACCCCTGTTGCTTCTTAAAAGTTGCTTTAGCATGGAATTTGGTCTCCATAGTTGGGGTAGATGGTTTCAATGCCTTTCATCTCTTGCTATAAGGCAGCTTCCTATGTTCAAAACATGGGAGAGGTCTTGGTCTCCCCTTTGTTGTTCCCACAAAGGTTGTTTTTTCAGTTAGGGCAACATCAGTCCCTCACACCTGTTAAATTTGAAGTTTGATGCAAAATTCAGAATGCTGAGAATCTTGTAGTGTCTTTAAAAGCAAGCTTACGAGGTCTCATGGCTGAAACAAAATGAATCTGAAAATGAAACATAGTAAGGTGACGCAGTTCAGTGCTCTGTGTTATCCTTTTCCCCTCTTTGTGCCTAGCAGAAATAGAATAAGACTGCAATCCCTTTACACACTTGCCTGTGTTTAAGCCCTCTTGTCAGTGGAACTTACTTTCCAGTTCATAGGCTGTGCCGCATATTAGACACAAGATGTAGACGTGTGCCAAATAATAATAATAATAATATTTTTTATTTATATCCTGCCCTCCCCAGCCAAAGCCGGGCTCAGGGCGGCTAACAAATATACTTCCTTTGCAAAATGCATTGTCTGGGCTTTGGAAAAAATGGAAATAAAACCAGTATCCCTCCACAAATTTTCCATTCCCCACTCCTCCATGAGTGATTTTACACCTCTGGTCACACAAGAAGGCTTCCATTGAAAATATCACCATTCCAATCTCTGAAAGGCTTTCAGTATCATCACCAGCACTTGAATTAGGCTCAGAAACAAACTGGAACCCAGTGCCATTGCTTTAGCAAGAGAAGCACATGTACCCAGCAGGTGGGCCCCTATTAACAATTGGCCCACTGCATTCTAGACCTTTTGGAGTTCTTGGAACTTTTCAAAGGCAACCCTAAATAGAACACAACTGTAATCTAGGAGTGATGCAACTAAGGCATCAGATGATCACTCAGAGAACAGGATGCTGGGCCAGATTCGGCCTTTTGTCAGATCCAGCAGGGCTGCTCTCTTGTTCTTCAGGAGTGTGTTGACTTAGCCAGATGTGCAGTGTACAGAACAGATTGCTCCCAGTGTTGAGTTTAACCCTACCCACCTCTTTCTTTTCCTAGTATGTGGGAGACCAATCACCCTGAATAGAAATGTCGGGGGTGAGGACTCTGTGGAAGGTGAATGGCCATGGCAGGTCAGTGTGAAGAAGATGGGCAAGCATATCTGTGGAGGGGCTTTGATAACCCATGATTGGATTGTGACCGCAGCACATTGCTTCCCACCGTGAGTAACCCAGAAATGGCTCTTTTCCTCCCACCTGTAGTCCAATGAGCCCAAGACTCTTTACAAGTCAGGTGGGAGACTATCCTATAAATGCACCCCCCCCACTGAAAAGTCCCTGTTCTCTGTGTCAACCATGTCATCTCAGATGTTGTGGGAAATATAAGAAAAGCCCAGAAGATATAGGCTGTTTTCAATATATAGATAGGTTCGCCTGAAGATGTGTCATCCTTTGGATATCCTGGCCCAAGCCCTGCAGGTCTCTGTGTTAGACTACAGTCTTGGGGGTAATGCAGATTATGTCCAAGGCAAAGAATCCAGTTGTCTATAGACTACAACCCTGGTCATCTATCTTTCAAAAATAATCTCTGCTGAATTTCTCTCCTGACCGTTGTAATTCCCCACTCAGCATTCCTATTCTTTGGAAACCAGGTTGCATATTTTAATTTATACATCCACTGCATTCCTGTTTCTAAAAATAAATTGAAGGGAAAGATTATGAAGCAGTTTCATATTGCTTTAATGTTTCACAGTATGTTAAAGCTTATAAGGTTCTGCAAATTCTGCTTTCCAGACCTAGGTTTAAGAATAAAGTATTCAAGTTCAGCACCAGTTATCTTGATTAGTTTGCAAAAGAGCTGAGATATGGACACATGTTTCTATTAAAGTGCCTTAACAAAAGGTATTTTCAGGGCTTCCCCCCCAGCTGGAACTCATCGCAAATCAGTTCCAGCACCTCTCAGGTGGGTGCCATTGCCATTCTAAGAGAAGGAGGGAGGTGTTCATGATTAGTTCTGGCACCTCTTTTTTGAGAAACATAGCACTGGGTATCTTAATGAACTTCCCAAGGACATGAAATTAACAAGGAGCTCTGATCCAATCTGTTAGCTCAACTGCTGCAAGGCTTATTTTAATTAGCAGAAAGAATTGTTTGGCAAGATGATTTGTTTTGATCTGGTAAACTTTGCTCTTGGCAAACTTCCTAGCTGTAAGATGCTTCAGATAAAGTGTACCCAGAACAAAGGCAGAATGGGAAATTAAAATCAGAATGCCCATGGGACCATCTCAGGCTTAAAGTGCAGGTTTGCCCAATGTGTCCCCCCTTTTTGTTGTTGCAAATTTGAGATAGTCTGAATGCTTCCCTGGGTCTAATAGCATCCCAAAGCCTCCTGATCCCAGCCAAGTAAATTGTATGCAATGGCGACAATGTTCCTCATAGCAATTTTTCATCCATCCCCTTGCAGAGAAGGTGATCTCTCCCAATACTCCGTGCTGCTAGGGGCCAACAAACTGGAAAATTCCTGGCCCCACAAACAGTCCATAGGAGTTGGAGACATAATCAGAAATCCCCGCTATGCAGGGGAGGCCACAAGCGGAGACATCGCCTTGGTGAGGCTGATCTTCCCAGTGAGATTCACCAATTACATCATCCCAATCTGTGTACCTGCACCCAACGTGGACTTTCCTGCAGGCATGATGTGCTGGGTCACTGGCTGGGGAGATATCAGTGAAGGACGTGAGTACTGGGAGAGGGGAAAATGTTAGAACTGGACAAGGTTTCCTTTCTTGTCCAGGAAAATGCAAAATAATAATGATGTACCCTTCCTGCTCTAAAAAGCCTAAGATCCGTGCCCCAACTTTCCTTTCCCTTGTAATTGGATTTGCTGAGAATACGTATGAATGCTTTGAAAAAATACTGTGGTCAATGGTTAGTGGTCATGATGGCTGTATGCTAATTCTGGGATCAGAGGGAGAAGGCTGCTACCCTTGTGTCTTGCTTGTAGGCATCTGATTGGCTAGTGGGGGAAGCAGAGTGCTGGAGGGGAAAAGCTGAAGCTCAGTGCTAGAGCACATGCTTTGCGCTCCAGCATCTCCAATATATTACAAACGCTCAGCCTGCTTGAAGAAAATTAGGAACTTGACTTCCATCTGGAGCCTGGTAAGTATGCTAGAAGTAAAGGTTGGTCTTGCATGTTACCCAACCATTGGAAACTAGTAAAAACTTTGTTCCAGCTGATTGCATCTATACCCTAAAGGTATACTTGACTGACCTTCTTGCACATCTGTTTACGGTGTGCAAGTGGTAAAGGAAATATAATAAAATGATAACCGTGTCTCCATGTTTCTGCTTCACTATCCCATGTTCTTCACTTCAGAGGATCTGCCTTCTCCAAAGAAGCTCCAGAAGCTTCAGGTGCCCATAATAGATCTTCAGACCTGCAGACGGCTCTATAGTATTGACATGGGACCAAACCTGCCCCAGAAACCCATCCAGGATGACATGATGTGTGCCGGGTATGCTGAGGGTATGAAGGACACGTGTAAGGTGAGGGATTTCTCTCATCAAGACCTGCCTTCAGTTCCACATGGATAAGGTCCTTCCTGTCTCACTTGCTATCCATTTCTATTATTCTTTAAGACATTTGATATTCAGCCTTGCCATTGAAAAGAGACTGCATGAGATGGCATACATTAACTGTCCAGGGGTCCTTTACCTTTTCCCTTGTGGGTCCTGCTTGTGGGCTTTCCTGGGGCATCTGATTGGCCCCTGTAAGAACAGGATGCTGGACTAGATGAGCCTTTGGCCTGATCCAACAGGGCTCTTCTCATGTTCTCATCCCCTCCCCACAAAAAACTATGCATTCCCAAACATCTTCTCCACCTTCAACATACATTTCTTTGTAAAATGCATTTTGCTTTGGTTTCTAAGCTGAAAACTACACTGTTGGGAAGTATGAGAAAGTTTCCCCACCCCCTAACAACCATGCCACACTGAATCACAAATGCATCTAACACCCATCTTTGTGTTGGCCTAGGGTGATTCTGGTGGCCCACTGATGTGCAAGATAAACCAGGAATGGCTCTTGGCTGGTATTGTCAGCTGGGGAGAAGGCTGTGCTGAGAAGAACCGCCCTGGCGTGTACATCCGCCTTACCGCATACCACGACTGGATTCACAGGATTATCCCCAATTTGGAGTTTGTTGAACCTAGAAGGGGTTACAACACCAGGATCAGGAATCAAGGCACTTCTGGAGCTGTTGGGAGGGGACAGGCCTTCATAACTGCTCTGCTACAGGTTTTGGTGTGGACCTTTATTCATATCTTGCCATAGGATTTGTGGGAAAAAGAAGTTATAAGTGGTCAAGTGCTGCGGGGTTACCTCTCATCTCATCTTTCTCCCATTTCTTGGTCACTCCTAACTTCATCTGCCCAGGATTCTATCCACTTGGCCGTGAGCAGCACTTGCACAGGGAGATACAAATGAAGTGAGGGCATGGATGTCTCTGCAGATGTAGAGATGGTTTGGGGCTTCCTTCTCAGCAGAGGGATGCAACACCCTTTCTCATGAGCCCTACTAGCCACTGTCTCCTTTCTTGCCACAAAACTTTTACATATGTATGGTGCAATCAGAAATCATGGGTAGCTGGGACTGGGGAGCTGGTGGTCTCTGGAATCATCATATGCCTGTTGCTGGGTGATGCCTTAAGGCAGGGGTGCCCAAACTTTTTTCAAAGAGGGCCTGATTTGATGAAGTGAACATGTGTGAGGGCCTTTTTCCCCACAGTTTTTAAGCTTTTTTAAGGGTTTTACCCCAAGACATATACTGCCCCGGGGGCCGGATTAAATCCACCAGCAGACCAAATTAGGCCCGCGAAACGGACTTTGGACATGCCGGCCTTAAGGGACAGAATTGGACCTCTGAGGCAAATTAATTGAGGCTCAAACTACAGAAAATGCTCAGCTGTCTGATTCCCCTACTTGTTTTTTTAAGGCAAAACAGCTTTGTAAACTGTCTTAAACTTTCCAGTAGCACCTTAGAGACATAGTTGGTCTCTAAGGTGCTACTGGAAGGAATTTTTTAATTTTGTTTTGACTATGGCAGACCAACATGGCTACCTACCTGCGTTTTAAACTTGATTGTACTCTTTTGTTTGTCCCACAATATAAGTTAAAACACATGACCTCTTCCACAGAATCCCGGGACTGCAGGTTTTTTTTTAAGGGTGATGGGAATTGTAGATCTATGAGGGGAAAACTACAGTTCCCAGGTTGCTTTGTGGGAGGAGGGGATCCTGTGGTTTAAATCTGTATTGAATACATTTTAAATGTGTGGTGTGATTTTCAGCAGACAGATGGCCATAAAGGAAAGTGTTAAGCAGCTCTTCCTTCTATCAATTGCAGTTTCCAAGCCAGTTTTGCATTTAGCAAGCAAACCACTGCTGGGAAAGTACCATGCTACGGGACCTCACTTAATTTAATGGTCAGGAAAGCCGAACCTATCCCTTAATATGCCACCGAAGAGCCACCTGAGCCTCACTATTTTATGTCAGCAGGCAATAATAATAATAATACAACAATAAATTCAGTAATTAACAATTTGATGCCCTTTCACGACGCTGAAAATCAGCTACCTGAGGTAGCTACCTGATTCATGGTAAATGCCAATTCCTACCTCTGATACTGAACTTGCTTTTTACTGGATCAAAGTTGAAAAGCAAAGTCATCAAAGTATTTTGATATGTTCAAATTGCTAAAGGTCAGCATTATCTTCACCTTACCTCCCGCCACCCAGGTCAGCGTATCACAATATTCATTACAAAAAAAAAAAGTTTCAACTTTAGGATGCTAGTGTTATGACTATTTTAAAAGTCCATATTTCAGTCTAATACAAAACTGTCTGTTTGGAATACGTATGTTTGAAACAGGTTTGTGTAAGAGTTGCTTCAAGGAATCCTTACCTTTACTCCCTCTTTATCTATTTCTATCTGCCCATATCACTTTATGTTTTCAGGTATACATGAAATACAAAATTATAGTGATTTTGTGACAATTTCATTGTCATGGCATCCTGGGAGTTGCAGTCTGGGAATAATGGTCTGTTAGGCAGTGTTTCCTCACAGAACTGCAATTCTCAGGAGGAAAGAATAATTTTCAAAGTAATTAAAAACTGTGATGTAGATGTGCCCTTAATTAATCACATGCACTATTCCTCAGCTGGCCATGACACTAAGCAGCAGCCATTATCCTGTTTCTATGGGTTTAACTATTTTCCATTACACCAACCAAATTATTAGAAATCATGTAGTGGGTTGCGGAGAAAATTGAAGATGAGGCATAGACACCCTGATGGTGACTGGCAGCACAGTACAAGGGCAAGGGAGATCTAAGTCTTCCCTCCACAACTGTGATTTGGTAAATATAATCTCCCATACAGTAGTTAGTATTAAGGAAAAAACCCACTCCCATTGAAGGCAGTACTCCCCCCCCCCCAACGTTATCTGCTGGACTGGGCAAGGGAATATTTTTACTGAGACCAGAGTTGGGGAGGGATGACTTAACCTTCCCCTCCCTCACATGCTGCAGTGGTGATTACAGCTGCCCCGACCCCGCAGCCAGGTATTTAATTAAAACAAATTCATGGCATGATAGCTAATCACATTGCTAGCACAGTGTGTAATTAGGGGCCTTACATTTTGCTTCCTTTATGGAGTCCCAGAGCCAGATGCCCTGAAACTTTAGCTCTCAAAATATTCTCAAGAATCTTGTAAATGAATGAAAAGTGAAAAAAATTAAAGAGGTGGAAAAGTGAAAAAATTGAGGGGTGGAAAAATTAAAGGGGGAGTGTTCAAAGTGTTGGCCACTGGAGTGTATGGTTTGTGTGATTTGCAAAACGTCACATATTAATAAAATACTTTGCTTAATAAAATCCTTTGTTGGTGTTCAAAGGTCTTTAATGGTGTATTAAAGTAGCTGGAATAAACAGCAGCACTGATGAAAGATTAAAACAGAAGGGGAAAATAATGTAATGCACATTGGATGAAAACAGCCAAGAAAAACAGTCAGATGTCACTTATCAGCTTTCAGTATATCCCTTTTCTGCCCAAGGTGGAGCAATTAATATAAGCTCTGAACACCTTTCAGTAGCTGTACGAGGTGAAATAATGTTAACATGTTGTTTCAACAAGTGGGCGGAACGAAACCCAGGTGCCATGGCTGCCAAATCTATGCAACAAGGGCAGAGCAGGAGCAGAAAGACATACTGTTCTGAAAAACACACCACAGAATGGCAGTTATGGCCACAACCCCAGCATCAGTTACCACACCAGCAGCATCTATCATGGCTCACTGCAGTGACAACCTGCCCCCCCCCAGATGCTCAAACATGTAGGGAGCCAGTACATTGGTGCTGGCAGGCACCTCCACCCACTGACCCACCTAAATAGTAAGTTGCCTTGTGACTGCTTTTAGTTGGAAAAATCAAACACAAACATACCTAAATAATAATACCCTCCATTCTGTGTACACCACAGCACCTCCATGCTGGGAGACCTTGCTTCTCTGAGATCCCAGGTAGCCCAGAAAGAAGAGCTGGGGTAAAACATTTTTCTGCCTGAGGTGGAGCAATGAATGGCACCCCCCCCCCACAAGTCTAGGTGCATAGGACCCAAGGCTGGTTGAGTTACATTTTGGACACCTGAGGCAGAAAACCCCCACAAGCAACTCTCCCTGACCCTGGCAATCAAAATGGATTGGGCCAGATTAAACGAAGCCGGTGTGTTAGTAAAAGACAGCACAAGGACTCCCATGAGTGTAATGCTTCTTGGCCACATGCCCCCACATCTCCCCCAAATCTGCTCTGGGGAGTCAGGAGAACTTCCAGAACAGCATACAGAGGGAGGAAAAGGGAGACAAACACCAGAATGCTGTTGCTACCCAAACAGCCACCGTCCTCCTTCCAGCCTTCCCCCAATTGCCCTGAATTCTATTGCGTAGGTAAGGGGAACCTGTGGTTCTCCAAGTCCCATCTGCCCCAGCCAGCATGACCAATGGTCAGGGTTGATGGGAGTCATAGTTCAAAATAGATGGAGGGCACCAGGGTGGGAAGAGATGTAGAGTGCCATGCACATTGATACTGCTATATCAACAACGGTTGTCTCCCTAGCATCTGTTATATGGAGACTTTTTGAAATATGGCAACCATACTTCAGATATAAAATGTGTGTTTTCATATAACAGTGTCCTGGAACGCGTTTTCCAAAGCTTTCCAGATATAAGCCTTCAACAATCTCTTTAAGAAATGGAGCAGCAGTCAGAGCATGATGATGATGATGATGAATAATTTATTTCTACCCCACCCATCCAGCTGGGTTTCCCCAGCCACTCTGGGCAGCTGCCAACAGATTAAAAACAGAATAAAACATCAAACATTAAAAACTTCCCTAAACAGGGCTGCCTTCAGATGTCTTCTAAAAGTCAGATAGTTGTTTATTTCCTTGACATCTGATGAGTTTGAAATCCATTGGTTTTTTTTTCTTGTTGCTGTTCTTTCACCTTAGCTATATGTACTCATATGTTCCCTGCTTCCCTGAAATGCACACTTTAACAGAATCATTGGATGCTGTGTTCTACAAAGCTAGAAAGACACAGCTATAGACATTTCAAAACACGCCTCAGGGCTTCCCTGTTCCAGTGCTGAAGAACATTCTGCTTTCCTCTAGTACAGCAATTGTGCACTTGGTAGTGATGAAAGAGGTGCATATTAATCTGCCAAGTTTCAAAAAAATGAAGAAGTGGTACATGCAGCCTCCTCACAATCTTGACATTGTTTAACACTGATGAAAGCAGAGTTGTGAAAGTCTAGATTATTTATTAGCATCTGCAGAGCCAATCAAATCATATTATTAAATATATACTGCAGGATGCACAAGACTCCTACAAATCAAGGTCAAAAGGTTGACTGAGGTTGCAACACTATATACACTTACCTGGGAGTAAATCCCATTGAACTTATTAGGATTTACTTCAGGTAGACATGTATAAGTTTGTACTGTTAAAAAATAAATACCCTATACTATGTATCACATGCTCTGAACCTGGTTGTGCATTGGCCACAACCTTTTGTACAGCAGGCTAGTTGTACAGCAGGCCCCTCTCTATCCCCCCCCGCCCATTCAGGCAAACAAAAATCCAAGTTCAAGGACACAGTCCAGTCAGGCAAAAACACCTGAGGAAGGTAGAAAGCAGGGCCAATAAGTGGTGCGATTCAAGAGGGTGTGGGGCTATGGGGAAAGTCCTGAGAGCCAGGCAAAGAGACTCCTGGGCCTGAGGTTT